TTCAGTCATTCCAGTAAAAATATAATTTATTTGTTGTTTTGATCTCTTTCGGGTGGGTGGGGTGGGTGGAGATGAGCACCAAACAACTCTAGTTGTCTATCTTGTTCTGCCCTCTTTCAATATTTTTATATTATGGGTTTAAAGTATAAAATAGAAGATACATTCACCCCATGTAGGACACAGGCAAAGTAAGAATCATGAGAGCTTGTGTATTTAAAAGGATGCTCAGTGTTAATTAGATTAAATTCTTGCTGTAATTCATTATGTCGATATTGAATAAATTGATTTATAAATTGTCCTTTTTAAAAAAAGACATATTAATGTAAGTATATTTTTCCGTTATAAATGTTTCTATTCTAAAAACTCAAATAATCAAATTGTCTATCTGAAGTAAAAAACTGGTCTGCCCAATTCTCTAATCCCATTCCTGGTGTTATTTATAATATGGAGTCACTGTAATGAGATTTACCCTCTATCTTGCTAGTCTTTTAAAAATTTATGTATAAACTTTATTTTACATCAATGGTATCATGTTATACCTATTTTTTTTCAAATATACCCCTACAATGCCATTCCATGTGAATACTTTATCCTTTAAAATAACTTTATATTACTTACTATGGATATGAATCATGATTGATAAACATTTAGTTACTACCTGGGTGATAATTAATTAAAATTTAAAATGTTAATAGATGTCAGTAACTAAAACATGGCTTCAATACACTCATTTAGAAATGTGTTGAATACCTACAATGCGCTCAACATCATGAACATTAGAAAATGTGGAACAGACATGGGCTCTTCCTGTCTAGGCATTTAATATCTAGTTGTGGAGACAATTTGACTACATGGGAATATATTATATAAGCTGTAATTTATCTACTTTTATATTTCTTTCACCCTAGCTCTTACTCTTTCCATTCTGGCATTTTAAAAAGAAAAAAAAGTTTTTAAAACTTTCTCCCTACTTTTTCTTCAATCTTGAAATATTGTCTGTGGTAACTGATAACGTAATGTTCTATGTAGGCATTTTATATATACAGAGAGCTATCTCTCTTCATTTATTTATTTGATGTTTAACAAATATTTATGGAGTACCTGCTGTGCAGGGCCCCGTGCTTAGGCACTAGAAATACAAGTCAACAAGGCAAGAGTCCACAAACCCTTCCCTCAAAGAGCTCATGTGTAATTGAGCAACTTGTGGGGAATTCAAGATGGAGTGGTAAATACTATGACATACTAAACACAGGGTGCTACAGGAAGACCTGGCAATTTGGATATATGTAAATGGGTGACCTAATCCAGTCTAGGGGGACAAGGGAAGATATTCTGAAGTGTGGTAGTTTCTAAGATTAGACTTGAAGGATAAGTAAAAGCTAGCAGATAAGGAGAAGAAAAACTTTAAAACTTGTTATTGTGTGTAAAAGTGCACAAATCTTAAGTATAGCCCAATGAATTTTAACATATGTATACATGTTTGAAACCACCACTCAGATAAACATATAGAATATTTTTAGCACCCCTGAAGGTCACCTTTCCCAGTACATACTCAGCCCTTGCCCCTTGATAACCATTGTCCTAATTTTTATTACGTTAGATTGATTTTGCTCATTCCTCATAACATAAATGTAATCATACAGTATTTACACTTTTATCTCTGGCTTTTCTGTTAGTTTATATCTCTAAGATTCATTCATGATGTTTCATGAAATAATCTCGTACATGTTTTTTGACAGCCAAATAAATGCACTCTCTTGGATATACACTTAAGTAGGAGTGGAATTCCTCAGTGATAGCATGGGTGTATATTTATACCTTCCAAATGATTGTACCAGTTTACACTCCCACCAGCAGTGTATGAGAGTTCCAGTTGCTCCACTGTTTTGTTGACACTGGTATTTTCAATCCTTTTCATTTTGGCCGTTCTGGCTGTAATATAGTAATGTATCTCATTGTAGTTCTAATTTACATTTCCCTAATGAGTTTCGATGTTGAGCATCTATTCATATACTTGTTTGCCATTTGAAAATCCTCATTTGTGAAGTGCCTGTTCAAGTTTTTTCTATTATTTTATTGTGTATGGTTTTTCTGAGAAAGACATTTCAAGCAAAGGGAGTAGGAAGAAAGCATGGGGCTGCTTGTAAAGTGCAAGGTGGAGAGCTAATATTATTATCACTGTTTTGCAGATAAAGAAACTGAGGCATAAAAAAGCTAAATAGCTCACCTAAGTGGCAGAGTCAGGATTTGAACCCAGGCTCCAGTGTCTGCTCTTAACCGCTGCAGTATGCTTTTTCTAAAAGTCAAAGAATCTTAGAGGTGAAAGGAGACTTAGAGATTATCTGATCTAATCCTTTATCATTTTCTTAATTTAAAAAATTTAGTTTTATCATGGTAAAATATACGTAACATAAAATCGACCATTTTAACCATTTTTAAGTGTGCATTAAGTACATTCACATTGTTATGCAACTATAACCATTATCCATCTCCAGAACTTCATCATCTCCTACTGAAACACTATACCCATTATATAAATACTCCCCTATCTCCTTTTCCCCCAGCTCCTGATAACCATCATTCTACTTTCTATCTCTATGAATTTGACTATCCTAGGTACTTCATATTAGTACCATCATATAATATTTGTCCCTTTGTATTTGGCTTGTTTCATTTAGCATAATGTCTTAAAGGTTCACCCATGTCATAGCGTGTATCAGAATTTCATTCCTTTAAGGCTGAATAATATTTCGTTGTATGTCTATACCATATTTTGTTTATTCATTAATCAGATAATGGATATTTGGGTTGTTTCTACTCTTTGGTTATTCCGAATAATGCTGCCATGCATATAGCTGTACAAATATCTCAAGTCCCTGCCTTCAGTTCTTTTGTGCATATACCCTGTGCTGGGTCATATGGTAATTCTATGTTTAATTTTTTCAGGAATCACCATACTCTTTTCCATAGCAGTTGCACCGTTTTACATTCCCACCAACAATGCATAGGGCTTCAATTTCTCCACATCTTTGCAAACACTTGTTATTTTCTGTTTTTGTTTTGTTTTGTTTTGTTTTTTAATAATAGTCATTCTAATGGGTGTGAAGTGGTATCTCATTGTGGTTTTGATTGCATTTTCCTAATGATTAGTGATGTTGCTCATCTTTTCATGTGCTGATTGGCCCTTTGTATATTTTGTTTAGAGACATGTCTGCTCAGGTTCTTTGCACATTTTGGATGTTTTTGGGTCTTAGAAGTTCTTTTTATATCGTAGATATAAATTCCTTATCAGATAGATATGTGATTACAAATATTTTCTCTCATTTCGTGGGTTACCTTTTTACTCTGATGGTAGTGTCCTTTGATACACAAGTTTTTTAGTTTGATGAAGTCCAGTTTGTCTATTTTTTCCTTTGTTGCCTGTGCTTTAGGTATCATATCCAAGAAAACATTCCCAAATCCAGTATCATGAATATTTTCTGTTATGTTTTCTTCTAAGAGTTTTATAGTTTTAATTCTTACATTTAAGTCTTTGATCTATTTTGAGTTTATTTTTGTATGTGGTGTTCAGGATCCAGCTTCATTCTTTTATATGTGGATAGCCAGCTTTCCCAGCATCACTTTTTAAAAACAGTCCTTTTTCCATTGAATGTTCTTGACACTGTAGTCAAAAATCATCTGATCAAGGGCCGGCCCGTGGCTCACTCTGTAGAGTGCGGTGCTGATAACACCAAGGCCATGGGTTCGGATCCCTATATAGGGATGGCCGGTTCGCTCACTGGCTGAGCATGGTGCTGACAACACCAAGCCAAGGGTTGAGATCCCCTTACCGGTCATCTTTTAAAAAAAAAAAAAAAATCATCTGATCAAGTTTACTTCTTAAATCTCTGTTCTATTTCATTTATCTGTATGTCTGTCTGTCTTTATGCCAGTACCACACTGTTTTGATAGTGAGCTTTGATATCAGGAAGTGTGAGTCCTTGATCTTTGTTTTACTTTTTAAAGATTGTTTTGACTATTAAGGGTCCCTTGAAATTCCATATGAATTTTAAGATGGATTTTTCTGTTTCTGCAAAAAGCATTATTGGGATTTTGCTAGGAGTTGCATTGAATCTGTAGATTGCTTTGGTTAATGTTGACATCTTAACTACATTTATATATATCTTCTTTAATTTCTTTTTTTTGTTTGTTTTTTTGGGGGGTGGCTGGCTGGTACAGGATTTGAAACCTTGACCTTGGTGTTACAACACTGTGCTCTAACCAACTGAGCTAACCGGCCAGCCCTTGTCTTTAATTTCTCTTAGCAGTGTTTTATAGTTTTCATTGTACTAGTTTTCATTTCACCTCCTTGGTTAATTCCTAAGTATTTTATCCTTTTTGATGCTATTATAGTTGTTAATTTCCTTTTCAGATTATTCATTGTTAGTGTACAGAAATACAACTGACTTTTGTGAATTGATTTTGTATCTGGCAACTTTGCTGAATTCATTTATTAGTTCTAACAGGGTTTTTTGGGGTGGAATCTTTAGGATTTTCTGTATATAAGATCCTGTCATCTATGAACAGAGATAATTTTACTTCTTCCTTTCCATTTTGCATGCTTTTTTCCCCCTTGCCTAATTGCTAGAAATTCAACACTATGTTCAATCAGAATCATAAAAGCAGGCATCCTTGTCTTATTCCTTAATCCTTTCTTTGTATAGATGTGGAAATGTAGGACCTGAGAGGGGAATTTACTTGCCCAAAGTTATACGAGTTCATAGTGAAGCAGGAATTGATACCCAAATCTCTTAACTCTGGTCTAGTATTCTTTCCGTTATATTGGGTTGCCAGAGTTCAGGATAACTGGTTATGGAAAGTCATAATAGATGATGGTATTGAAGAGATATTTTAGTATTATGGGTTTTTTTTGGATTTGTAACTCTTGTTACATCTGATGCATGTAACCTAAATGTTTGCTTAAGTTTTAGAAGTCATTCTTTTTATTTTTATTTCTTCAGTGCAGTTTCTGTTGGAACTGATATGCTAGAATTGGACTGCCATATCACAAAAGATGAACAAGTTGTAGTGTCACATGATGAGAATCTAAAGGAATCAACTGGAGTCAATGTAAACATCTCTGATCTCAAGTACTGTGTAAGTAAAAATACATGATAAACTAATATCTAATAGACATTAGGGTCTGTAAGATTTTTAAAAACAGTGAGCACCAGATATTGCTTTAATAAATAATAAAAAAAATAGTGATTAAGTAATGAATGTCAATGGAAATTTTAAAAAACTATTCTGACTTCCACTGAAGATTTGTACTGTATACAAATACATCTATGGAGACTTATTTTAATAAATGTTTTAATAAAATTACCAAAGTCCTCAGATATAAAACTATGGGAGCTTAATTTGTTTGAAGTATTCTGTAATTTATTTGATTCAGATTAAAGATATGAATTAGTTTCAGTCTTCAACTATGAAAAGCATCATTTAAAAATCTGATCATTGTAATTTACATGCTCATTATACAAAATGATGATAAATGGAAGGAAAAATGTCTAATTTTACAGGCATTATTTAAAGAAAATTTATATTAACAAGATACTATGTGTATGTATACTCTGTAGGTTTTTTACAGAGTTGTGTTCTCACTGTGTATTGTGTATATTGTGTTTTAAAAACTTTAACATTACAGCCTGATAAACATTTTTCTATGTTTTTTTAAAAAATAGACTTCATTTTTTAGAGAAGTTTTAGGTTCACAGCAAAATTGAGTGGGAAATACAGAGTTCCCACATACCAGCTAACCCTACACATGCACAGCCCTCCCCGCTATCAACATCTGCACCAAAGTGGCACATGTGTTGCAATTGATGAACATACATTGACATATATCACTCATAGTCCATAGTTTATATTAGGGTTCACTCTTGGTGTTCTACATTCTATGGGTTTGGACAAATTAATAATGACATATATCCACTATTATGCTATCACACAAAATAGTTTCACTGCCCTAAAAATCCTCTGTGCTCTGCCTATTCATCCCGCCTTTCCCCCATCGCCTGGCAAACAGTGATCTTTTTACTGTCTCCAGAGTTTTGCCTTTTCAAGAATGTCGTATAGTTAGAATCATATAGTACCTAACCTTTCAGACTCCATACTTATTTTTCAGAAACATTTCAAATGACTGCAGTTGTTCTGTTGAGTGGAAGTTATTTTAATCATGCCTCTATTGTTGGACATTGGATTAGTTCTGAGTTTTCACCATTATAGATAACACTGCACCAAACATTTTACATGTTAAAGATAAAGCTTTCTCTATCTTTACATGCATATACAAAGTTATTTATAAAGATATAAATAAAATATTTTTATAAAGACATATATAGGTATTTACATATATATAAAGATACTTATATAAAGTTTTCTCTATATTTAAAATTATTATTGGGTAAAGAATAGGACTATTGTCTTAATATACATTGCAGATTGCTGTTGCTTGCTTACTTTTTTGTTTGTTTAATGAGTGGAGTTTCCTTGTAAAGACTGGAAAACCTGCTAGACAAATTCAAAAAGAGCTGTAATGCTTGCTTTTTAAAAGTGTTTTAAAGAGTTCTAATATCTGATATTAAGAGAGTTCCTATTTTTCCATACCCTTACCATTATTGGGCATTATAATTACACCAAAATTTTGCTAATTTGCTATATTAAATTTTAATTAGTATTTCTTTGATTATTAATTAATTTAAAGATTTTCCTATATGATTGTTAGTTATTTTTCTTTGAATTGTCTATTCTTGACATTTTTTTTACTGAAATTTTTGTATATTATTGAGAAAAGGTCTATATTTAAAGTATTACAGATTTCTTGTAGGTGGTGGAAATAAGTAATTATATGGTTAATTTGCTGTTGGGGATGTTCTACTAAAGGACATCTAAACATATATAGTGTTTTGCCCTTTTATTTTTTGAAGAAACAAATCTTTATGTCTTAATGTAAGACACTAAAATACTCTTTATTTTTCGAGAGCTAACTCTTTTTCAATCATATCTTTTAAAGGAGCTTCCACCTTACCTTGGCAAACTAGAAGTCACATTTCAAAGAGGTAATATTTCTCATTTGTGGCTTAAACATCTATATTAAAGTGTATTCATTTATGCTGAGAGGCACATGTGTGTTCTCTTGTCATAGTAAGTTCTTGATAAAAGTACTGCCCTCTAAGCTTGTTCTCTCAGGCCTACAAATCTGAAACTTTGATGGTCATCTGACCCTGAGATGATCAGGCCCAAAGATTTAATGGATCATTCTATTTAAGTTCACATACAGTTAGTTTATACCTGAATACAGATTACAAGAAACCCTAGGGATACCTTTCACCTCTAAAGCTTCAAATTCAAGAATATCACCATAACTTGTAGTACTTATGCATCATAAATATAATAAAGAATAAATGAAAAGAACTGGAAAAGACTCCTTTCAGATCCTTTTTGGTTCTAACATTGATTCTGCCATTTAGCAGCTCCATATTTTAAATGATTAAAGAGACTTCTATCACTCAAATAAACCATTTCCTAGTCATCTTCACTTATCGCTTTTCTTTCTTTTAAGGGAACATTTCTCACAAGGAAACATATCATTTGCCCTAATTCATTAGTTATTGCTTGTTAGAATGGAAAATATACCACCCTGAGATACAGATGCTGAGCTTCCTCACTATCACAAGTCAGCCTCACATTTTGAATGATTCAAATGTATATCTCAATAAAACTACAAGATGCTATATGACCTTGGTATGGCTTGCATATAGTTGGAATCCTTGGTTAAATGTCAAGGATCTATTGATATGAATTTTTTTTAAAAAGTGGAAATTGCTCAATGAACTAGATTTAAAATTGGCTAGGGGGCTTGCCGATTAGTTCACTCGGTAGAGCATGGTGCTGACAATACCAAGATCAAGGGTTTGGATCCCTGTACTGGCCGGCCACCAAAAAATTTTTTTAATAAAGTAAGTAAATAAATAAAATAAAATTGACTAGGTCAATTTCCCCTTGATAGGGAAATTTTGGAAAGCCAAATAAAAATCTGAAAATTTAAAAATTAGCTATCTCTAAGAAACATTTAAATCTGATGCATGTTTCATTTTGCCTTCCAGGTAAGTATCATTAAGCTATATTGATTTGAGGAAATAACTTTTCATTTTTGTAATTTATAGGATTATATTTGCCAAGCTATTGTAATATTTGTGTCCATTTTGGACTTGTAAAGGTTAAGAAAATTTCAGAAGTGAAGTTTTTCTTATTTTTCCCTTGGTAGAGCAAAGCTAAAGCCCTGAAAAGATTAAAAGATCCTTTGAGAAAAAAGGTTCTAATTTTTTTCTGGTTTTACATCTCCCTCATAAAGTCATAAAACTTTTGAATGTGAAGAGACCTTTGAGACCAGGTAATCCGGTGTTCTGTTATAGATAAGGAAACTGAGGTCTAAAGATGCAAACTAACTTGGTCAAGTACATATAAGTAAATAACAAGCTAGGACTTGAAACTAGGTCTCCTTGCCAGGCCAGTTTCAGCTACACTATACTGCCTTTCCATTGAACAGTCTCCTCAAGTGCTGTGTTAATAACAATCTTATACTCTTAAGTTTTAGACAACTGTAAACAATAACAAACTGTTATTCATATTGCATTCAAGTCATATCATAATTGACTTTAGATGTGATTCAAATATGAAGTTGACTGTATTTGAAACAGACTAATATATAGTACTGTAAAAACTTGACTCAGATTAATCAGAATGTTGTTCAGTTTTTTCTATCCTATTCCCCTGATCAGAACTCTTGCTTACTATTCTTTAAATACTGGAGAGAGAAACTATCAGAGGAATACAAATTACAGGGCTCTTGCTCTTTTTGTGGTTCTTAGCTTTACTGGAGAAGTGATGAAGTGTTTTCTTTTAAAGGGTTCTTTGATGTACCACAGGCTACATTAAAAAAGTAAGTACATGGGTCTGGCCGGTTAGCTCACTTGGGAGAGCATAATGCTGATGATGCCAAGGTCAAGGGTACAGGCCAGCTGCCAAAAAAACAAAGTAGTAAATATAAAGAAGAAACATGAAAAAGCATTAACCAAAGAGTTTATTATCCTATTTGCTTATTTATTATCTGCTTATTTGAAAGTAGCCTTTTGTTTCATGGAAAATACATAATTAGGATAATCTAGAGTTGACTATAATTGTGGTTTAAAGTTCTAGCATGCTGTAGGGGCCACTATTCCATCATCCAGTACATCCCATGGCATACTTCTTGCCTATATTTCCTGTTTCCTGTTATTTTCCTCTTTCCTTTTTGTAGTTTCTCATTTCCTAGCTGGTTATCCTCTGCCCAGAACAATACTGGGACAAACTTCTCTTTTTTCCAACTCTTTTTCTACATTCTGTGCTGGTTGAGGCATCTAAATTATATCTTATAGCACACTATTATTTTTTCTTAGCACACATTTTAATTTCCTTGTTTCCTCACTATTAGTACAATATTATTCTTATTATATGTATCAATTTGCTGTTCCAAAGTTAATTTTATCTGCTTGACCTTTTTCTAAGTTGATCTTTACGTGTATCTTACTTTGCTGTGAATAGTTACTGGCAATTCTTTTGGCTGCTAAATTAATTTTTTCACATTTAGAAGCTAATTAAATTTTTAACTAACTATAAGAGCACTGTCCAAATAGAAGTTTCTGCAGTGATGGAAATGTTCTATATTTTCACTGTCAATTTGATAGCCAATAGCCACATGTGGCTGTTGAGTACTTGAAATGTGGCTAGTGCAACTGAGACTGAATTTTTAATTTTATTTAATTTTAATTATTTTTAATTTAAATAGCCCTATGTGGCTAGTGGCAACCATATTAAACAGTGCAAAACTACAGTATCATCGTCATACATTTTAGGTTATAAGTAACAAATCAGTTTAAACTAGCATAAGGCAAAAAAAAAAAAAAAAAAGATTAACTGGACAGAATGATGGCAGATCTCACATCAAACTATTGGATATAGAGGCACAAAACCACTCTTTCTTCCCTTGGTTCTGCTCCTGTATGTATCTTGGGTTTTATTCTCTTTTACCTTAGATAGATTTTGCCCATGTGGCAAAGGACTTGATCACTGACAGCTATAAATTCATATCCTGCCTGCACTGTGTGACTCCAGAGAAAAAAAGGCAGTCTTCCCTATGAGCTTCCAGAGAAAAGTCCCAGAGAAAGACATTCATTGGCCCAGGTTGGGTCATGTGTTCATCTGGAAGCAAAGATATTGATTTTTATAATTGTCCAGACCTAGGTCCTATGCCCATCCCTGAGGATGAATGGGGAGTGGATACTGTGACTGACAGTCTTACCAGAATAATGTGGAGTAAGGGAGATACAGTTTTCCAAGAGAAGGAAGAATTCTGGGTAGATGAAAACAATAGCTATATGCTATAAACATAATTTTTTATAGTTTAATTATATAGTCTATGATAATTTTAAGCTCTTTAGTTATAAGTGCTAGACATGCATCTCAAGATAGTTTAATCAAAAAATCAAAAAACAAAAAATGAATTTATTGGTTTTCATAACTAAAAAGTCCAGGAGTTATATATGCCTTCAGACATGATTGAGTCCAGTTGGTCAAGCAATTATTGGAATTTCTCTACCTCTACCATTTCTTGGTTCTACTTTCATCTGTGTTAGCTTTGTTCTCAGAGACACCTTTTCTGTGTAGAGATGGACCCCCTGGCAGCATGTATATGATGCATTCAGCTGAGGATTTCAGGAGACTTCCAGTATCCATCTTCTCATATTTAAATGGTCTCAAACTGGTCATGTGCTTACTCTGACCAGGAAGATGGAGCCAAATGAATGGCAGTCTCATCAGAGTGACCCAGAGCTCCAACAGAATTACAAGGAGTACAGTAACAGATTTTTCCTTTTTTTTTTTATTTACATGCTTCTTTTCCCATGAACCCTTCTTAGAAATAATTTAATTTTCTGACATGAATTTACTTTTTTGATACGCATCTTAAGCATTGAAGACTCTTTTTAGAATACAAGTGATAGTGCAGAAGAAATATCATGACACAAGTAGCTATTCTCAAAATCTTCGTTTTGACTTGCCATACAATAAGGATGGGATAAAGGATTTTTTCACCATTTAGATATTCATAGATTAGTGGAATTGAAGTTTCAGATGGAAGGAGAAATTTTCTTTTTTTTCTTTTTTTTAAAAAGATGACTGGTAAGGGGATCTTAACCCTTGGCTTGGTGTTGTCAGCACCACGTTCAGCTAGTGAGTGAACCGGCCATCCCTATATAGGATCCGAAACCATAGCCTTGGTGTTATCAGCACCGCACTCTCCCAAGTGAGCCACAGGCCGGCCCTAGGAGAAATTTTTGTAGTAGTTATATAGTATGTATAGCATGAAGGTACTTCAAGAAGTTTGTGGAAAAATAGAATGAAAAGATAACACAAATCTTTCCATGAACTTTTTGAAGTACCTTTGTATATTATAAATGATGAGGCAAAAGAGTCTAGGGAAAAAGTAAAACCAAAAAAACCCCCCAAAAAACACATAGTCAGGAAATGTAAAGAGTGATTAAAATTCTCTTCTAATGTTTTCATTACTCTTAGTTTTCTTTGAGTAACTTCATTGATATAATTTTTCAGCACATTACTGAATTAGTATATACTTCCCTTGCCTGAACATTATTCTCAATCTCTGAAAAATACAATCATGATATCATAGCACAACTTTAGAAACAATCTCAATATCTTGTAGTAGGGGAATGGTTACATTAAAATAATCAAATTATTGTATAGGTACTCAATGGAGTATTTTGAAACCTTTTAAAATCATGGTAGAATGAGATTGGTGGATTGTATTGATGTCAATATCATGGTTATGATATTATAGTTTTTGCAAAAGGTTACCATCGGGAAATCTGGATAAAGAGTCCATAGACCTCTGTATTATTTCTTTCAGCTACATGTGAATCTACCATTATCTCAAAATAAAAAGTTTAATTAATAAAAATTAAATCATAATTATCAACAGTGTATTTATATAAAAAGATAAAATTAAAATACGAGTTGCCACACAATGTTATAACTACTGTATATTAAGTTACACATAGGAAAAAAAGAGTAGAGAAAGCACACCAAATGGTCATAATGGTTATGTCTAATTTGTTGGATTTTGTTTTTTCTTCTTTATACTTTCCCTCATTTTGTAAATGTCCTATAATGAATACATACTATAATTTTTCTAATCATTACAAAAGTAAAAATTATCTTTTAAAAATGCATTTAAAAATCTTGCTTTCTCAGCATGCCAAAGTGAAGGAAAAGATAAGCGAATTCCATTACTGAAGGAAGTTTTTGAGGCCTTTCCTAACATTCCCATTAACGTCGATATCAAAGTCAACAACAATGTGCTGATTAAGAAGGTACTCAAGGCATTGCCTCCTCTGGGTGTGTTGCATTTGATTTCACAAACTAAATAATGTTAGAGTAGGTGACTGCATATATTGATAGTGTTCAAGGACATGTGATAATCCGGGGATCAGCACCATTTTAAATAATGTCCTGGTAGAAGAGCCTGTTTTCAGAGTAAGTTAGCATGTCTCTGTCATGGATAAAAGTAAGCTCTTATGAATCAATCATTCTAGTATTTGTATGATTAAATTTAACTTGTTTCATTTGTGGTTAGTTATGTCAAATTACTAAATAGTTGTATTCTATTAAACAAATATGATGGTAAAATGTAAATAATTTTTATATTTTATAAAATAATCTGAATTTGTATATCAGTTTTCCAAAATTTTATACTGTCCATTGGCAGATAGTCAATTTTAATCCATGTTTAAAGTGAAATGATATAAGTGGATTTAAAAGTAGGCATGTGCATAAAATTTTGAATTTTCACCTGTAGGTTTCAGAGTTGGTGAAGCAGTATAAACGAGAACACATAACAGTGTGGGGTAATGCCAGTTATGAAATTGTAGAAAAGTGCTACAAAGAGGTAAGCTTTAAAAATGATACAGAATAACCTATCTTTGATGTTGTGTATCCATAAATGATAAGTTATTACAGTAATAATGTTTTTAAATTATCTTACTTTATAGCCTTCATACAAAGACAGATGGTACTGAGTGGAAGCAACTAGCCAGAAGTTTACTAACAGAGATAATGTATTTGGACCTTGCGATTTAAGTTAATTGTAATCGTACTGGTTTGCAGAATTATTATTTCTAAAAGCTAATACTGTATTATTTACTAACATTTTATTATGTACATCATAAGACCAAATATGACTCTTATCATTTAATGTCTGTTTTTTGTTAGGTAATTGAAATTTTGTGTGTAATTTTTTGTTGTGTGTAATTTTGAGTTAAAGAATTTAATTCTTCAACTCTATAGCTTTAGCTTCTCTTTACCCTATCCACCAAATAGACTTATGTAAATTAAGGATCATGCTTATTGGGTAGTATATAAAAGCAGGGCCTTTCGACCACTGCAAATTTTCTTTTCTTTTCTTTCTTTCTTTTTTTTTTTTTTTTGGTGGCCGGCTGATATGGGGATCCGAATCCTTGACCTTGGTGTTATAACACTGTGCTCTAACCAACTGAGCTATCCAGCCAACCCTGTAAATTTCCTGATTGAAGAAAATGTCTGTGAAAAATTAATGTGATATTTTGAAATGATATGCTAAACCTCCATTCGCAAGTTAGATATATGATCAGCTAAAAGAATTTAAAATTCAAAATGTTAAAATATCTTAAGCATTGAAGACTCTTTTTAGAATACAAGTGATAGTGCAGAAGAAATATCATGACACAAGTAGCTATTCTCAAATACAAAGAACTCTTTTGGGAGGGCCCTCCTAGCAAAGAAAGCAGAAACATCCAAGATCAGCACCATTACAATTCAAAGTACAGTTGAAGCCCTTATTAAGGCAAGTGAATTTTATATATGTGCATCAGGCTCTGTGAGATACCAAGGTAGCTTGTGTATAAAAGTAGAGAACAGATCAATCACTGGGCTGAGTGGCTTCAGATCCCTAAGAACTTAGGAGTAAGACTTTTCTATAACTAATCATTGCTTGATGTATTTTCAGATGTTATTAAAAAGGGAGGTAATGTGCTAGAGACTTCATGACCTGCTGATCTTTTTACATCAACAAAAAAATTTTCAAATAAAAAATAGTGATAATACCAAATGCTGGGAAGGATGCAGAGAAACTGGATCTTTCATACATTGCTGGTGGGAATGTATGTACAGCTACTCTCTTAAATAGTTGGGTAGGTTCTTACAAAACTAAACATACACTTATCTTATGAACCAACAATCTCATCTTGGGCATTTATTCCAGAAAAATGAAAACTTATGCACACAAAAACTTGTACAACTTTATTTGTAAAAGCAAAGTCCTAGAAACAACCCAAATGTCCTTCAACAGGTAAATGGCTGAACAAACTGCTGTGCATGCATATAGTGGAATACTATTGAGCAATAAAAGGGAATGAACTGTTGATACATGCAGCAACCTAAATGGTCCTCAAGGACATTATGCTTAGTGAAAAAAATTAACCTCAAAAGGTCACATACTGCAGGGCTGGCCCGTGGCTCACTTGGGAGAGCGTGGTGCTGACAACACCAAGTCAAGGGTTATGATCCCCTTAGTGGTCATCTTTAAAAAAAAAAAAAAAAGGTTACATACTGTATGATTCCATTTATGTAATATTCTTAAAACTGAAGACATAGAGAGCAGATTAATGGCTGCCAGGGGACAGGGACTGAGGGTGAGATAGAGAGTGGTTACAAATACAAAGAGATAGCATAAGGGAGTTCATGTGTGGTGATGAAACAGTTCTGTATCTTGTTTGTGGTGGTAGTGATTACAGGAATCTTTATATGGGTTAGAATTGCACAGAACTACACACACACACACACACGAATTACACACACACACACACACACGAATTAATGCAGGTTAAAACAAATGGTGAGTACTGAGTAAGGTATAATTAGACTACAGTCAAACTAACTAATGTAATAACAGCAATTCCTGGTGTTGATATTATACTACAGTTATATCAGATGTTACCTTTCCGGGAAGCTGGGAGAAGGGTGCATGGAACTCTACTATTTTTGCAACTTCCTGTTTGTCTAATTGTTTCAAAATAAAAAGCTCACTTTTGGCCCACAATCACAGAATTTCTCCCTCGATTCACATATTTTTCCAGAAGCCTCTGTTTTTTTGTCATTTTAGAATTGAAAAACTCTAAAAACCACTCAGCAGCAATCTTTAAACATCACAGTAAGAATTTCTCAATAATATTTGTCATTCATATTATCAACATGCTGTATAATTTAACTAGTGCATATTTTAAAGTATGATTTATAAGAATTTTACATTAGCCCATTTAATTCCTAGATACTTCAAACTAAAAATATGAAAATAAAAGGAAGTGGAGCACACAGTGGTGATGGGAAAACATGTGGCACTACTTCCCACTTAATGACTTTTTATTCATTGACACTTTGTACACTGGTTCTTTTTTTTTTTTTTTTTTTTTTTTTTTAAAAGATGACCGGTAAGGGGATCTTAACCCTTGACTTGGTGTTGTCAGCACCACGCTCAGCCAGTGAGCGAACCGGCCATCCCTATATGGGATCCGAACCCATGGCCTTGGTGTTATCAGCACCGCACTCTCCCGAGTGAGCCACGGGCCGGCCCCTGTACACTAGTTCTTAAACATGACTACATTGGAATTACCTGAACAGTTAAAAAAAAATACTAATGCTTGGGTCTCATCCGAGATATTCTAATTTAAAAGATATGGGGTAGAGCCAGTTGTTAAACATTTGCCAGCATACCGCTCTCCCCTTGCCTGCAACCTTTGCATGGCTCTCCAGAAGTACCAGTTATTGTTTTTAATGCTCTGGTTCCAAAGTTGTGTAAGTTTTGGCTGACCCGTTAGCTCAGCTGGTTAGAGCGCACCCTTGTATCACCAAAGTTGCCTAAGCTTTGACAGTCAGCCCCAACCCTATTTTTCCCATAAGCTCTGTTATTCTTAGTGTATGAATTTGCAGAACTCAAGGTTTTTCAGGGACTTGTATATTGTGTTACCCCTGAAACACCTGTATATAAATAAGCTGAAAACATTAGAAAGCAGCATGTGAATACAGGGACAAAATAAATCCTCAAATTTATTCACTTTATTTTTTCTGTCCAGTCAGACTTAATTTTTTGTTTTGTTTTTCTTTTTTTGATTCTTTGTTTTTTCTTTTTTGCCTTCTTTTTGGTCAGAATTAATTTTTAAAAAAATAAACAGGTAATTTACAACTAATTATTTAAAATAAATTACTTCTGCATGATTTTTAATATTATTTCTTTTTGTAGAAAAATTCAACTTTATTGTTTTTAGAAAAATATAAGAGAGGGTGGGAGAGGGAGAATGGAGAGTTGTTTAATGGCATAGAGTTTCAGATTTGCAAGATGAAAAGACTTCTGAGGATTGGTTGCATAACATTGTGAATGTAGGTGACACCACTGAACTGTATACCTAAGAATGGTTAAGGTGGTAAATTTTACGTTATGCGTACTTTACCACGATTCAAAAAAAATGTGTATAGGAAGCGTGCATTTTAAAAGTTTGGGGATCTTGAACACATTTTCCAAAAGAAACTTAAAATGATGGTTAGATTCTTGGAGTAGCTCACAAAATCCTATTTGATCCTTTTATATATATATATATATATATATATATATATATATAATAGATAATAGATATATATTTATATATAACATATAGATATCTATACAACAGTATATATAAAAAATATATATAGCTATTTTTCCTAACAGGAGTAGGGTTACTGAATATTTCATTTCTTTAACTCTTTATCTTGTTCCATTAGATTCTGGTATGTTTAGTCTCAAGCACTATAACCAACAGACAGAAGTGGTGTTGCAAAAGCAAAGAAAAGGGAATAGAGAAATTTTAGTAACATCAGTTATACTATGGGCATCCAAGGTAGATAGATCCTGACCCATTTGTCAAGGATTAGCCATTTCTAAGTGTTGTGTGTTATCAGTAAATAGATATTGATAATTTTGGGAGTGCTTATAACAGATGTCAAGATAAAGTCTTGTGAATTTTTGAGGGTTGTGAAATAATCCTCTTTATCTGAGCAGTTGTAAATTAACATATATTGTTTGTGTCTTTTAGAATTCAGATATTCCTCTGCTTTTTAGTCGACAACGTGTTCTGCTCATTCTAGGCCTTTTCTTCACTGGTCTCTTGCCCTTTGTGCCCATTCGAGAAGAGTTTTTTGAAATCCCAATGCCTTCTGTTGTATTCAAGTAAGTGGTTACCCTGTTTTCATCAATTATTAATTACAGGAGAAATATTATAAAGTCTTATTAATATCATTATCAATAATAAAGAATAGATTTTTGTAACTAATTTTATGTTCTATTTAGCTGGCCTATATAAACAATACTTTTTGATATAATTAACACTCAGTCTCTAAAATGAGTAATAAAGGATTATATGTACTGTACTTAATCTGGACCTATCCCTGGTAACAATGACTTTCTGTGCCTGTGTATTCAGAAGTCAGATAAAAAGAATTGAGTTTAATTATAGAAACTTAATAATTCTTTTATATTGACATCAAATAGGATTTGCTTTTCAACTTCCTTTACTTTTTTCTACGTCATTGACAATTATATCCAGCTGAAATTCTGTTAAACTCCAAATTCACCACTAGTATTCATACTTTGAGGAAGAAAAACAACCACCAACACCACTACAATGAAAACCTCTGGGGATAGGAGAAAGAAAAGGGTAGAAGTTACTTTGTTTAAGGTACTTCTTTATTTACATAATTTCTCTATAGGTACAAAGGCTTGTTTTTCAGTCACTAATTTACTACAAGGACAAAAATATATAAAACGCTTAGCATTGCCTGGCAGATAATTAACACTCAATACGTGATAGCTTTTTTTTTTTTTTTTTTTTTGTCTTTTTTCCGTGTCCGGCAACGGATCGCAACCCTCAGTGTTGCCCCCGTACCGGACCGGGGACCGGCAACGGGATTGCAACCCTCGGTGTTGCTCCCGCGCCTCGCTCAGCCAGTGAGCGGGAACCGGTCTGTATGTGGGATCCGAACCCTCGGGCGGGAGCGCCGCCGCGCTTCCCAAGCGGCGCACTATCCAGTGCGCCACCGGGCCGGCCCATATATGTGATAGCTTTTATTGTTAAATTATCTTTATTTTTACTATTAAAGAAAGATTAGTTTCATCTCAAAATCTTACACAATTAGACTATGATTTCTAGCTGTAGATTCATAATAATAACTGAATCTTGACAAAGGAATTTGGAACTCCTAGGGAGATTATATAAATATGATTTCACCTGCATCAAAACATTTTTATCCCCAAAACAAAACTTTAAAGAATCAAGCTGAAAATTATATACCAATTGTTAGAAAATATTGGTAAGAAAAGTGATTTAGCTGGTACCCTTGTGCTCAGCTTCTGTTTCATGCCTGTCTTCCAATTTGAGTTTCTTTTTTTTTTTTCCTTTTTGTCTTTTTTTCGTGACTGGTAACGGGATCGCAACCCTCGGTGTCGCGCCTGCACCGCGCTCAACCAGTGAGCGGACCGGTCTCTATATGGGATCCGAACCCTCGGCGGGAGCGCCGCTGCGCTCCCAAGCACCGCACTCTACCGAGTGCGCCACCGGGCTGGCCCCAATTTGAGTTTCTTAATGATGATCACGTTTATTTTGTCTATTCCCATATTAATGTTAATAAATAAACAGTCTTTGTAGCTGTTTCTCAGGCAAAACGGAAAACACTTTTTTGTCTACAAAGGAACTATTTTCATTTGCTAGATTAAAATGACTCCTAACCACTTATTCCTAAAGTACTTAACTTTCCTCTGGCCTAGAATGGGCTATTGTGCTGTCCAGATTATCTCCATGTGTTCCTTTTAGAAGCGAATATTATTGAAATACAGATATATGAATAAACTCTGTAAAGTTATTCTTTTCTTTAAAAAGTGACTGGATTAAGACACATATAGAATATTACTTGCATGTGTTTTAATGTTTTTTCAGTGGATATTTTCTAAGACAATATAGTAATTGTTTTTAATGAGGTAATTAGTATATGTGGTACTAAATCCCTGAGATTCCTAAAATTGCCAGGACCTTCTATCTGGTCCAGAGTTAGGGAGAAAAAAGGACTTTATTTAGAGAGCTTTGAATAAAAACTGACTTCAGAGAGAGAAAAAAAATGAACTAAAGTGTGGGGGCTCTCAGAATTATCTTGAGTATAGACAGGAGTAGTGAGAAAGGAAACAAGAAATGAAGTTCTAAGGAGAGTGAAAATCACTATGTGCTGGTAAACTTAGAAAGAAGCTGAGAAATCTTCATAGTAGAGAGGCTAATCAAAAATTTCCTATGGGTACAACCCAAAGTTAATGACACAGGTAGTTGAGATGCTGTAGGCATCAAAGAGATTGGAAGAAGGAACTCAGTATAGGCTTAAAAAGTCAGGTATACTCTTTTAGTTAGAAAGATAATTTAAAAAGACAGGGTCCAGGTTTTCAAATATTGAAAAGGAAAGAAAAACATGCTTTAAATGGCTCATTTTTAGCCCAACTATCTTTTAAACCTTAGTAAAGTTTGCTTGTATGTTTAAATCTACCACATATTAAATTATAGCAGACAAAGCAGAAGAAAAAGAGATTTCACCAAAAAGGAAAAGAGATGTGAGCCTAGGGCATCAGGGTCTCTGGGAAGGTAACTTTATTTTTTTAACCTTTTCACAGTGGTAGCAGAAAGTTAGCTTTAAACCAGTGGAAACAGAGAAACCAACTGAGCTTTAATTTATTTTTGTCTTTTTATGAATATTTTTTAAGAACATAACTAAGTATAAGGCACTGTTTTCATTTTTGTACTTTTTTTTTTTAATCACAATGATATATTCCTGTGTTTCCAATTTGTAATTCAAACTTTATTTTACTTTAGGCTAAAAGAATCAGAGACCATGTCCAGAAGTCAAAAGTTTTTCATCTGGCTTTGTGATACGTAAGAATTTTAGTTTCTTGATATGCAAGTTATTGCTTTAGTTATGTGAGGGCATTTCAAAAAGTTTGTGGAAAAATAGTATTAAAATATAATATGAATCTTTCCATGAACTTTTTGAAGTACCCTAGTATTTATTAAATACTACAGTTGTATTTCAGTGCAAGCTTTTCACATGTAATTGCAACAAGGACTTGTTGAGCATCTACTGTGCTAATATGCTTGTGTATGAATCACTTAAAACTAGCTTAATTCCTAGTCACAGAACCTGAGGAGGAATCGAGAGAGAATCTCATCCAACTTCATGAGAAAACTGACCCCCATTCACCCAGTTAAATGATTTACTTGGAGTTATCTAGCTAATTAGTAGCAGAGCTGGAATAAATAACCATGCCTTTCTACTTATTTGCTGTTCCCACTAGCCCACAGTCAAAAATATGATGAAAAGAAGTGTGTATAGCAATACAGTATATGTAAAAATGTATTCTGCCTACTGGCACATTTCTCAGAAAAATCTGCACCAAGACTTAACAGGATAAAGGAAGTCCCGCTACAGGGTGGACATCTACTTTAAAGAAAATGCCTTAATTTCTGAGACATGTTGAGTTTAATTTCAGATAAATTTCACTGAGTAATTGTGCTGTATTTTGCTTTAAAATGGAACCCTGAATGCTTTAGTATTAATAGCCCTAGATCACAACATTTTATTATTTAGATCCTCTTTCAGAGAATCTTAGAAAATTAGTCTTATCTTTTCTCTGTTCCATAGGGTTTATCTTTTTTGCTTTAGTCCTGACTTAATTTCTAGTTTTCAAGGATGCATTTTTAATTGGTTTTAAATGCACACGATTTCTAGTTCCTGTTATTTAATCATTCTAATAGACATCATAGAAATGATATGTATAATTTTCTAGTACAGTTAGTTCCTATCTTGCTCAAATGATTTGTATTCTAAAAGTTTACTTGTTAAGTCAGTTATTTGGAACTAAAAAATGTTTTTTTCCTAGATATAGAATAGTGTAATTAATGGACGTAAGCTTTCTAAGATAAATGATAAAAGACTAATTCAATATGTAGCCAAACTATGATATTATAGAACTTGATCCAAATTTGCTGCCTTATTTTAACTTGGAAAGTTAGGAACACATACTTCCAGCTCTTTCTCACTCACATTATGGCTCCAGCAGGGAAAGTGAGGAAGCCTCTTCTCCACTGAGCTGCTTCAATAAGAATGGGTCTCCTGAGGATCTAGTGGCAGCAAGAAGAAGAAAGGAGGTTCTGGTCGTCCACTAGCCAGCAGCCAGCAGTGAAAGGAGATAAAGCAGTTAAGACATAAAGTTATCCACGGCAGCCACTCTTACTTGAGGCCATTGCTTGTATTGCTGAAGCATTGGGATTAAATTAAACTAGGAATTACTAAACTCTAAATTGACTAATTTAGGACTAAAGACTAATACTAGTCCTCAGTTAGGACTAAGAAATACCTAAATCTGTTCGGCTTTTCTTTTCTAGCCTACTAATGAGGAAAGCTTTATTTGACCACCTCACCGCCCGAGGCATTCAAGTAAGTTTCTGGAATGATGCATTTTGGAAACAGCTTGGCTGGTCAGTTTAACACAAGTGTAAAGGGCGGGAGCTTTGAAGTGACTTAATGAGGACCTTAAGCTCTGCCTTATAGTTAGCAACAAAGTGTTGGCCCTTCTGGAGTTAGATTCCTCTTATGTATAGACAAGAATAGCTGAGGTCAGAGGGGGGAGACAGCCCGTATTTAATGAGCAAAGTGGAATTTTTAAAAAGGGTTTAATGATATTTTAAAATGACAGCTTTAAAAGGTTATTTTAGTACAGTGTGCTGAGACTGTGGTGGGTAAATATTATTATAAAAATAATTTTCTATTTTAACATCTCTTCTCACACTTCCCATGCTTCTAATTTTCAGGTGTATGTTTGGGTATTAAATGAAGAAAAAGAATACAAAAGAGCTTTTGATTTGGGAGCAACTGGGGTGATGACAGATTATCCAACAAAGCTTAAGGATTTTTTACATAATTTTTCAACATAGAAAAAGATGTACTCAGAAGCTTTCAGAGAAAATACGAAAAGACCTAAGGAAAAAAAAAATGTCATCATCACTCTAAGCCATTTCCAGAATGGTAAAAGGTTTAATCAGTTAAGTTTTTATTACCTCATTTTTAAGCCTGTATGAGAACGTAGAAACTATATATTGTATATTTATTTTAAGTAATCTTGCATAGTCTACATTTGTAAATTGTTTAGAAAGATAACTGGTTATGAGATATAAGTAGGAGATTATTGATCAAGATTTTTGTATGTGCACCAAGATCAAGGGTTCAGATCCCTGTACCAGCCAACAAAACAAAACAAAACAAAAAAAAAAAAGATTTCTGTATATGATGTGGTATTATACTACCTGTATTATAAGTAATTCTGAAATCAAAGGCTATTGAATAAATTTGGCATTAGCTTTAACTGGAATGAGATCAACTAATTAGTAAAAGAAAATTATTGAAGACTATTACAGCTATTCTGCATTATTTTATTATTTCTATGTATGTCTTAGTTAAAGGGGAAAAATACAGTGGAAGAAGAGCTTGGAAATCAGTGATGTAGTTATCTGGAAAGTTATACATTGTTAACAGAAGTCAGGCTCAAGGAAAAACTGAAAGTTTATTACTTGATCAGAAATAAAATCTGTAGACTGATTATATTTCTCTATTACTATTGTTAATGGGGACATCCTATTTGGAATCTTTTTCAAGTGTGTAACAATGCTACCTTGTCTGTTTTTTAAAAACATTAAAAATGGGTTTATTATACCTGGACAGTTAGCTCAGTTGGTTACAGTGCAGTATTATAACACCAAGGTCAAGGGTTTGGATCCCTGCACTGGCCAGCCACCAAAAAATTAAAACTGAAATTTAAAAAGGAGCTTATCAGTTCTACATTAAGACAAGATCCAAATAGTCATTTTTATGTTTTCTCTAAAAAAAATACAAGGTTTCCATTTTTGGCATTGACTAGCTGTTTGAGCCTATATCTAGAAGTAGCGTCTTGAATCCTAATAATCATATTAAATCATTGTTTTTAGTACTTCTGGTATGAATCACCTGTTTCTGATCTTTAAGAATTCATTCTTCTCAGTATTAAGTAGGAACAATTTCCCAGAGCATCAGACATCATTTTCTCAACATTTCTTTTCTTTTTTCTTTTTTTTTTTTTGTTTTCCAGTATCCCTGCCATGGCAGCATTCCTAATATTTCTGATGTGACTTCGTGTAAATCTGTTTCTAATCTTTTTGACTAATTTTCATGATCTCAGACTGGGAGGTATATAAAATCTGGAATAATAAATGTCTTTTACCTAGATTCCATCTCACATTTGCCAGCTAAACAGCTATGAAAGATGACCAAACTCTCCCGTCTGTCTCTGGATTGCATAAATATCATTTGCTTTGTTGTTTAAAATTAAATAAAGTTTTCTAAGAGCAAAATAAGGAGTCTTGATTTTTTTTTTAGTTTTTTACTTGTTTTTTTTATAGTTGTATAATTCCGAATTCCAAATACACTTTATAGATTTTTTTGCAGAATTTAATGAGGTGATGAATTGGTAATATGTATAAATGCACCTGAGATTTCTCTGTAGAGAAAATAAAAAAATATGTAAACAATTTATGGTAAGGAAGTTTCTTCTTGGTATTTGAAAAAATAACGGGCAGGTGATCCATTAAATCAGTCATTTTCACTTTCACTTACTTATTGTGACTTATAGTGGCTAGGGATCATTTTGATCATCTTTGATATAACCTTTTTTGTTATGTCTTCTTCCCAACTTTTGCTTTGTTATGATTTAGAGCAGTCATACTATAGGACTAGCATATATCTTGTGTCAAAATGGTAAAGATGATGTTTAGCAGATCATGTTTTAAAAGTTTGATGATTTTATAGTCAAAGTGACTAATTCTCTTAATAAAAGTACAGTCTCTATAGCAAGTATCATTACCAGATAACATCTGAATACTGCTCTTCTGATTGGGACATCATGTTTAAAAGAGGTTCAGTGCCCTTTCATGTTGAAATAGATATTAGTAGGTGTAGTGAACAACATGGTAGGGAAGGCTAGAGAAATGGTCAAAAGATGTGACTAGGCCTTCTGCTGGTATGGCTATCCCTAGATTTGACAGACATAGCTACAGGTCTAGTCCAGTACACCAACAGTATCCCACATACATAGCAATGGACTACAGTTGGCAGGTGATTCAGCAAACGATTGGCATGAGGGAGTTGTAACATGAAGTAATGAGATCATCTCTGTAGGACGAGGGTCCTACACAGGTTACCAAGGCAAAACAGGACACCAGGTACCAGAACTAGGATCCAGGTCTTGGAAAGAAGCTCATTTAACAGAACCAAAGAACTAAGTGATAACATTGGATTATTATGGGGGTAAGTTCATCCTGGGTCCCAGAGCTTCTTAAACCTCTCGTTTCTGGTTAGGACTGGTTCTAGAAATTGGGATGGGGGTGACTAGGGGTGGGCATCTAGTAGCCACACTGTGGAGAAGTGGAGAAAGAATGGCTGTGGTGGGTTGGGAGAAGAGAACATAAAACATAAATCATAGTACGTTCCAGTATGGAAACCATTAACAGAAATAATAAATAATTCTGCCTAGAGTTACACAGCATGGTGGCCCCAAAAAGTCCATTAAAAAAAAAAAGAGAATCTGCTATAGGCAAGAATGACAATTTAAAGAAGAGCATGAGTGCAGGTTGAAGAGTTTGTTCCAAACTGCAAGTTATATGTCTCAAGTAGGCGGCTAAACTTGAGACATTAAAAACAAAACCAGGCAGCAAGGTTTAAAAATAAAATAAAAATAAAAATGAAAAAAAAATTGCTAGGCAACAATGTGACATAATGATTTCAGTCCCAAAAGGAAAATATAAACAGTAGTCTCAGTCTAGGCACCAAAACAAGATCAGAACTAAAGCAGTCAGATACAAGAGTCAAAGAGCGTACTAACAGTTCATTAAAGCCACTAGTGATGTTTAGCTTTTTTGCCTCTTTTTTATAGCACTGACAAACTAATGTTTGGGAAGTTGGATCCTCCTATAATCTGAAATAAAGATACAAGCCCAGAGCAGAAAACAGTCCAGACACGAGGTCAGAATGCTAAACAGATCCTCAGATCTAATTGCCATTAGATTGCATAAAAATTAATTTGGCAATGGTCTACAGGTTGGGAAACACTTGCAGTAATCCAGGCACGAAGTTGTAAGTTTCCAGATGAAAGTAAGGACAGTGTAAGTGGAAACATGAATATATATGTCTCTGTAAGGGAAAAATTAAGAGTTGGTGACAGGATATGCTTAAAAGGAGACAGAAGAGTCACTGATAACTCCAAAGCTGCAAGAAAATGGGGAACAGGGAGAAGGGATTGATTTTGGTGGTAAAGATGATGAATATGGGTGCACTTGAGTTTCAATTGACAGAAGTTTGAGGGGCTATGCTTTAGGTGTATGGGGGTACTTCAAGAAGTTCATGGAAAAATAGAATTGAAAGATAATACTAATCTTTCCATGAACTTTTTGAAGTACCCTTGTATTAGCCCTTGGATGAAGGGATAGGTTTGAAGGAATACATTTAGGAGTTTTATGTACTTTATAGATATGAATTTGCAAAGCAGTTTAGAGGTGATGTTAGCTCCTTCTCAGTATTCTACTTGGAATTTGAATGTTACTATGTGTCGTGCTCTTTCACCTTCCCATAATCCTGCCGACTGGGCCAACTGTAGAGCTAGGGCTGGGTCTGGAGCTCACAGACCCCTCAAGCCTGTTCACAGACTGGGTCACAAACCCTTCATATGCCAGGCTGGGTCCCCAGACCCCTCACACGCAGGTCTATGAGCTAGGTAACTGGCAAACAGGTCCTTGGAAGCCATAGGTTTGAGAGCACGGCCATGTGTGGTGGATGCCCGAGGCAGTCACTAGCCAAGGTGGCAGCCCTGTGCATGCACACTAACCCCACCCACATGCACAATTTGCTTACAAAGAATGCGCCACACCACCCCCAACCATCCCTAAGGTGAGGGGGCATGATTATTCTATTTTCCCAACAATCCACCCCTTCAAGGCCCTTTCCCATACAATCTACGCATTCAGAATCTTCCTCAATGTTCCCTTAGCAACAATAAATGACCTTTATATTTACATAACCTATTGTTTTTTCAATATACCTTAAGGCCGGTCTTTAAGGCTTGTAGTTCTGGCCTTTTAACTATTAGCCGCATATGTCCAGTTAATAGTCACCATTGGTGTGATCCTCCATGGGAATCCTGCAGCCATACTGATGGGAAGTTCAATGCATATTCGGTAAATGATCACGCCAACATATGTATGTACCCAGTTTACTCTGGTGCTTGCAGCCAGCACACTATGGGCGAAAAGACAGAAGAGTTATTGGTACCAATAGGGGGAGTTCTCGCCCCTCTGGTAAGATACAAGCCAGTTTGCCATCCTGGGAAAGGATGGTTGCAGGAATAGGTATCTTACCTGGTTTATGATACCATACTTTATCTGCTAACACTGTTGGGTCTGTAGGTTCTACATGTAACAGTACAGGGGAGCTCATAATTGGCCATAATGATAATACAAATGTGCCCTTTGGAATAGAGTGCTTATCTGTTCCAGGCCATGTTACCTTTACTCAAGGAGGCCAGGTACTTGTCACCCAAGGTGAAACCTGCAAGCCTTCCTCTAATCCTTTCCTCAAGGCCCTATTAGACCTACCCAGCATATATGGGAGGCTTTTATTCTCCAAGGCCATTCCTATTGTACTGTCTGTCCCTGTTGCAAACAGGTTGGGGCTGGTAAGAGAATATTTCCATTCTTGCCATATCCTGGCTTCAAAAGCTCATCTCTATAGTGACTTGCAGCTGTATAGGTGCTGCAGCCCTATGCAACAGAGCTTCCACTGGAGAGGGCTGCCCTTGCGGGGTCTCTCATTTAGAATTCTGACTGTCGGCCATAACTGCCATGTCCACCCCTTCAGGGATGGGGGTTGGGTAGATAGCCTTAGTCCCTTTTTTAAAAGACCATTGTACCATTCAATCATTCCTGCTGCATGGGGATGATATGGCACATGTAACTTCCACTGAATAGACAACTGGGAGACCCACCTCTGAACCCCGTGTCCAGGAAAGTGGGTTCCATTATCACTCTCTATAACTATAGGCCAACCATACATGGCCTTTAAGGCTATTCAAAGCCTTCACAGTGTTTACCTGGCCTGGGGCCTTACAAGGCCATACAAACAGAAGACCAGTAGCCGTATCAACAGCAGTGAAGATGTATCTGAAGTTCTCTGACGTTAGCAGTGGTCAGACAAAATCCACTTGCCATCAAGTCAGGGGCACCCTTCCTCGAGTTATTTGCTCATCTGTATGAGGCATCTGCTGGGGTGTGGACTCTCTTGAGCACACACTGGACAAGCACAACAGGTGTTCACAACATCTTCCCATTTTATAGGCAAGGCCCATCTTTGAGTTACCATCCACATGGTTTTGCTGCCAGCATGCTGCATTTGTTGACGTAACCACTGGCTACATCAGCAGCTGGGGCTCTCTCCAGCCATCTTACCTTAGCCAAGGCATTGGCTTCATCATTTCCTGGACTGGCTAGGGGGAAATGTCTTGTGACATGGAAAAGAGTT